CACCGACATTGCAATGGAGCATAGCTAGGTGGTCGGAGCATCGCCGGTGCTGCAATGGAGCATCGTCGGGCTGCCGAAACATCCCGGGTGCCGCGATAAAGCATTCGTTAGACCGCCGGAACATCAATGGCGTTGCGAGGTCGCATCATCAGCGCTACGATGGAGCACCGTCGGGTCGCGGGCCGTCAAAACATCGCCAGTGTTGTAATGGAGCATGGCTGAGGCGTCGGAGCATTGTCGGGCCGTCGAAACATCGTCGGTGCTGCAAAGGAGCATGGATAAACCATCGGAGCATCACCGGAACCGCAATTGAGCATATCTGAGTGGCCGCAGCATCGTCGGTGCAGCGACGAAGCATCAATGGTGCTTGAAAGGGTGGTCGCAGAAGGGACTTTGCTGCAACCCATAGCTCGTCGCCGCTGTCGCCGTGGCTGATATATGGCAAGCTCGCCGACCATTGTTGCTGTAAGGTAACCAGCGACATGACTGCTGCCACCTGAGGGTTACAGCTGATGCTCTAAGCCGGCTAGCTGCTGCTCTCGTTAGAGTACGCGCATGCAGGGATGTAGCGTTGTTGGCTGGAGCTGCAGGGAGACATGCAATTTGGGATTTAAGTCATGTCGTGGTCCGGTCGTCAGGGAATCCAGCGGCCCAAATTGCACCGTACTGGAGGAAATCAACGACGGGCAAGACGGCTTATTTCTCCGGACATCATCCGGATGACGCCTAGCAGGCACCCAAGCAGAAACATCCCGTTAAAGAAACAAGACTCCATTTCTGGATTTTATTTCACTTTTCCACGGCTTCAAATTCAGTGTTTCTTAGATAGACGCTGTCTCAGCTGCAGCGAATAGAATTTACACCTTATATAATCTAGGATGCACCATTTTCCTAGTAAAGAATGTGATCTACTACATGAGAAGAGACATGGCAGGCTATGAGCTCAATATTTACTGAGAAAAGATAGTGCCAGGGATTCTCAAGCAGCATATGTTGCCCTCAGATACTCTACGATGTCGGCGCTCTCGAACATCTTTACCCCCGTGTTAGGATCCTCGATATAAGGCGCCTGTCAAGACGGTAAGATTAAAACCAAACAGAGGTTATGTGGAGAAAGGTTATCAGCAGAAGCATAAATCGCAACGACGCAAACCTGGAAAATACCATATTTCTCGAAAAAATCCTGTCGCTTGGGGCTGCCACGCGCACAGCTGAAGCAAAAGTTTTTTGTTACTTACATTGTTGTGTCTGTCATGCTACATATATGGATAGTATCAACGAGTTGTTCTTATGGTAGAATATTCAGCTATTTAGCTGCCACGCTAGTCAATTATACAGGAGTTCTGGCTGTTAGCATATTGTTGAATGGCAGAATATTCATTGATTTGTTGACGATCGTAATGCTATACTAATGCTACTGGTCATTTATACAACTGTTATGCACTGTTATAATTCTCTGATTGTAGAATATTCAACTATTTGTTTACGGATATAATCCAAAGTTTCAAGCATTCAAATACCTGTGTAGCAAGTGTGGCAACTCCAACTCGACAAGGGTCTCACGCGCTATTTTACAGAAAGGAGATCCCTGATAATAAAGGTTGCAACAATCAGATCCTGGAAATGGTAATACACTACGACAAACAGCAAATAATAACATTAATGCTGTGAATGATGACAAGTAGTGAGGGTTAGACCTCGTATGCCCATATCTCTATTGGCTGGGATGGAAGCTTTGCAGGACTGTAGGAAGATCCCTGTAATCAATAATGGAAATGGTTCAAGCAAAACTTTCAGACAATTACATGGAATAAACAAATGTCCATGGCTTGTTGGTAATTTACCTTCCCGCTACGCCCACTCAATGCAAGCCCTGCCGTTATTGTCTATACAAAATAAATAAATAAAGTTACGCAAAAGGCACAATTGCATGCACATTATAATAATCAATCCTGGTCTCTTCGATTATCAATTACTTAGTTACTTACTGTCAATAGACCAAGTTTTAGCATAATTGGAACACTTCCATCACCTGAAAAACAAGTGCAAGTAAAGGGCTTAGAACAAGCTTGTAAGGCCAGGGAAGGTATGCACTGTAAAAAAAAAGGAATACAAACCGTAAGTTTTTGCCAGGTAATTTATGATGTCATCTGATTCATACATAGCAACTCCTGTGTTTGGATCGACCTACAACATAAGAGTGATGTTATCTCCATCATGCATAATTCATTTCTAAGTAGGAAGCAAAATTCCCTGATTTAGTTTAGTAATGAAGAACAAATCATGCCAATGTGACAAAATTCAATCTTGCCCAGGAATAAAAAGTTCAGCAACATGAGTATAGTTAATGGTAAATGTCCATCAAATATCTAAAATAACATTTCAAAGATATGTAGAACTGGAAACCACAACCATCAATGATGTCTCGCGTACAATGTAAGGAAATTGTTTCTTTCCGCCCATCTCAAGAATCTTTGGACGGAAGGTTGGGCTGCCTTTAGGACAAGGGTAATATAAAACATCAAGGTCCAGGACGGATACCATCTCTCTGACCTGCAAGATTTACATGGTGACTATAAATACCAATGTTGAATAAATGAAGAAGGAAACTACATAACACAGATATAGTGAACCAAAGATTATTCACCTTTCGACAAAATGGACATCTGAGGTTTTAGCCACGATGCACAAACAATTGAAGGAATAAATAAATCAGCTTGACTAGTCAGAAGAAAACATTAGCGCTTAATACAAAAACTAGTTGCAATTAGAAACATGAAGGACAACCAGTTTGAACCTCCGTGGAAAGAAATAACATACCCTTCAAACTCGTATATTTCAATAGGCTTAGCAGGTCGAGGGCACTGCCCCACCTTCGACGTTTCTTTCACCTTCTGACCTAAATAATAAACACATGTAGTTGCATAATAGTATTTTGAAACTAAAGTTCTAGACTGGTACTGGACAGGTACACACAATGGTTGTTCACGTCAAATAATTGTATTTTGCTAAGTACGCCTTACTGTTTCACTCTTAATATTTCCATTCAGCGGTTGTACCTAACCAAACAGTGGGAACTAGAGAAGGAGTTCACCTTGGCCAGATACACACAATGGTTGCTTACATCAAATAATTATATTTTGCTAAGTACGCTTCATTGTTCTACTCTTGATATTCACGTGCTGCGGTTGTATTGTACCAAACAAAACTGTGGGATCAGAGGAGTTCACCTTGGAAATCCAAAGCATATTGATCCGGTGATATCTCGTTAGCATCAACAAGTGTCACTCCATATCTGCACATTGCAGGCACATACAAATTAAATAAAACCCACCTGAAATTGCTAGACATATGCACAAGGCAATGGAATCCACACATCCGGATGGCGAAAGTAAAAGCATGTTTTGTTGGACGACTAAAGTAACAAAACACTGTGAGCTAGTCAATGAATTTGAAGCAGCTCAGCTTAAACATACATAATTGGCTAGCACATAAACATTTCCCAATTCCATTCAAATTGGAAGGAAACGTTAAATTTAAAATTCAAATTCAATTGAGGTGTTCAATTAATTTGGTTTGCTTGGCTAACTAGATTGGCACGGTATATTCCAATGTGGACGGGGATTGAAGGGGCTGAATTACCCTAGGACGAAGACCCCGGTGCCGAGGCGGAAGGGCAAGGCGAGGGCGGCGCCAGCGATGTTGTTTGACTGGCCGGGCTTGACCTCAAACCGCTTGGGAACCGGAGGCGTGAACCCGGCGGGCGGAGCCGGCGTGGTGGAGGTGGTGGCGGTGGTGTCGTCAGGCTGCGCGGCGACCCTGTGAGTGAACGATCCTGTCCGATTCCCCCGGATGGTAGCGCGAGCGGCGGTGGTAGGGGCGGCGCGGGAGGAGAGGAGAGACGGGAGGCGGAGCGCCGTGGCCATGGATCACCCGCTGCGGGAGTGGGAGTGAGAAGCTGGTAGGTAGTGGGAGTGGACGAGTGGAGTGGAGTTGTCTGCTCGGAGAGGAGTAAAATATCAGAAAATTTCAGTTCGTTTGTCCGTTTATTATTACGTGACGAGACCGATAGTGAGGGTAGCAACAGGGATGATACCTGCGCAAAGAAGGAACGGAGGGACTTGTGCACGCAAGGGCGAGGGAACGCCGTCAAGGTTTGAAAATCTGTTTGTGTGCATAATAATGTTTTCGTCTCGTATAAAATTTGGTATCTGTGTGTAACGCCACTGTAAATCGAAGCCGTATACCTGTCCTTTTGGAGTCTGTGTGCAGGGTCGATTTTACCGTACGGGCACCCTGGGCACGTGCCCAGGCTCGATGGCGCCGTTTACATGAACTTCAGTGAGCTAGCCAAGTCATCGGAATCGTTAAACTTGTTGAGATACGCGGGAAAATCGTGAAATAAAAGCGGGAAACGAACGAACTGCACTATCTGGGCCACTTTGACTATTTCCTTGCCATAGGCACATTCATTTGCTTCGTAACGGTGGTAGGGTGCATCACAAGTATACCTGGCCACGGGAAGCCCGACCCGACGCTGCCCCCGGGCCAGGCTCGGGCCTAGATTTTAAGCCTGAAGGCTGGGCCGGACCGAGCTCGGGCCCGTCGTTTTTGCGTTTTCTTGAAGGTCGGGTCGGCCCGGCCCGGAGCCCAACGGGCTTTCACGTGTTTGGGCCGGGCTTGGGCTCAGAAACAGGCCCGATGGCCGGCCCGGGCCGGGCCCGAGCCTGGGTTTTTTTGCGTCGGGTTTGGCTAGGCCCGGCCCGAAGCCCGGCTTGGCTCGAGGTATGGCCAGATATAATACAAGGAGGATGGCTCTCCTCTCGCCCCGCTCCCCCCACCTCTTCGCCGCCGTCGCTCCCCTCGACGGTTGTCAATGATTCCCCTCCCAGCTACGTCTGCCTTGCTCAGGCGTCCCTTCGCCTCTTCCTTGGCCTTGGCGATTGGGAAGCTTTCGCCCAGGCCATCCTGCCTGCCTCCCCCTTCGAACGTCGACGCACTTTCTGTGCCTCTCCACCAGCTCCATCAAACTCTGGTTCAATGAACGGCTAGCCAACACTCTCCTGCAAGCGTTCCTCGGTGGAGTGGCAAGTTGTTTCAACGCTCGCGTGCTCCATGACCAGACTTTCATGTTCTCAGTTCCACTCACCAGTCTAGTGGAAAAAATCACTTCTCTTCGGCCTGTTCATCGACGGCTCTCCTCCTTACGTTTCCTCCCTTCTGCACCGTCCCTGAATGCTCTGTCCGGGCCCCCAACCATCCTCTCATGCCAGCCTCTGTCAGATGTCCTTCTTCCGCAGCATGCCACTTGTCTCAAGTTCGAAAACGCTGCTTGGTCGCGCCTAAAATCCTTTGTCACTGTCCCCTCAGCTCCGGCGCCCCCGGCTTGCCGCCTCCTAGTCACCTTCTTCCAGTTTCCTCTTCGCGTCTCGCCGGCGCTCTGTGACCTCATCCTTCACTGCTTGTTTGGTGGACACTCCGAGAAGTTCCACTCCTCCACAGTTGACGCCGACGAGTTCACCTTCGCGGTTGCTAACCGTGGTGTTGCTGACCTCGTCATCTCGTTTGGCGACCTCAGAAGGCCCGGCATTGATGTTCTCTTCTCCTTGCCAAAGTTGGCGCTGCCCGCGCTTGAGGTCCCCATGGCTTCGGTGGCCATGGAAGGGAGTACGCTTCGGCAGCAGCGAGCTTCGTCAAGCAGGCCTCGTCCTCATGTTTAGGTTCGTCAATTACGTCATGGGTTTAAGCTTCGCTCCCTCATCCTGCCTAGTTACAACCTACAAGTAGTTCCACCCTTCTCCATGTCTCCAGATCCTAAAAAACACGCTCTCCTTTGGATTAGTTTTTTTTTCCAGCAGTAGCAAAACCAAGTGCTTGTCTTGTTAAGCTGTCTCTAGATCACCTTTTCTTGGGTAATTCTAGCTTTGTGGTTATTCACTACCAGGAAAATATTTTCCTCTCTCTTGTCTCGTCCGTGGATGTTTTGAATGAGATCATCCAACGGTCGCATGTTTCGCCTCCTGGGATTACTCTAGTCCTCTCCAGCAGTCTGTTGGATGCGAAGTCAGCCTCAGCCCCAAGTTTTGAATCCATGCCTGGACCAAACTTGGGTCCCAAGGACCCGGCCGACCCTTCCTCGCCCGTCACTCGTGATGATAGCGCTATATCCATTCTAGGTTGACCTCCCGCTCTTCCTCCTCCTCCCCTCGCTAGCCAGCTCTTGCATTTGTTTAATCCTCCTCAGGACAACCTTGCATGTGATACCACTGCTAACATGGCGGGCACGTGCGGCGAGGGGCGGGACGTTGCCATGCTATGTCACCTCCCGCTCACTCCCACCCATGCACGCCCCTTCCCCGCCTCATGCATCCCCGTGCTGCACCAACATGGAGGCGTGAACCACCGCGACCCGTACGCCCGCCCCATCGACATTTAATGCAAACCTACCTCTCCCTTCCCCTTCCATAGACCCACCGTATGCACCCGCCCCCTCTTCACCACCGGTCCATGCCACCGGCGCCGTGCACCCATGCGGCCAAGCTAGTACACCCTACGCTGCCCCTACTCCCAGGCTACTCGCCGCTCTGCTACTCGCCTCTTCTCTGCCGCTCTCGACTCCCGAGCCCCGTCCCATCGCCGCGGCATCAGCCATGGTGCCCTCGTACCGCGATGTGCTGCTCTCCCCTGAACATGGTCTCCGCGCGCTCGCACCGTGTCTCCAAGAACCCTTCCCCGCCCTAGTCCTCTCAGCCTATATCAACGCCCAAAGCCTACCTTACCTCCTCGCATTCGCTCATGCCCCCTCTGCTTCTGTTGCCTTGCTTGAGACCACCTTGTCCAAAAGTGTAGAGATCCTGTGCACTGCTCCCGCTGTGGGTGATCCGGCCACCGTAGTTTTGACTGCACCTCCAACTTCCCCCTTTCTCTCCGGCGCCTCCATTTTTTGAGCCCCCCTCCGACCACGGCCTCCCCTCCCATCCACGTTGTTGCTGCCCTGCCCCCGAGGGTAACGACACTGTCCTCCTGGTCGGCTCCCACCGGCTCTCCATTCGCAAGCCGCCTTCCCCTCGCGCTGCTAGCCCTGCCTTGTCCGATGGGGACTCGGCGCTGCTGTCGCAGCAGGGCTCGCCGCAACCCGATTTGCATGTGCCCTCTGACATTGCTTCGGTTGTCCATGACCCCCTGCACCCCGGCTCGCTGTCCTCCTCCCCGGCTTCTTTGCTGGGCCGCGCCCACTCCACCTACCCAGATATCTTCGTCCCCTATGGGCTCCTCCATGATGTTGGACACTTCTGCTTTGTGCACCTCGACTTCATCATGCTTGAGCCCTACGACTTCATCCATCGCGCCATAGAGCACCACGTCAACCACCCCACCTTCCACTTCGCTGCTACTATAGACTGTGTCTTCGACAACCACGAGGACCGTGAGGCTGCCATGGCCTCCTTCCCCGCTGATTTACTTGGCACCCACATCACCCTTCTCCGCCTGAAGGAAACCACGACCATGCCACCACTTGCTATGACCGCCTGGTGGAGATCGAGGCCAAGAACTTCCCCCTCGAGCTATGGCACCCATAGGGCGCAAACTTTGTGTTCGACCACTTTGGGGTTCTCTGCTGCATCGACCAGAACATGCTCTCCCATGGTGACTTCACGATGGTGCGTGCCTTTGTCCGTGTCAAGAGTGACAACGACACGCCGGACGGCTGCATCCCCCGGCTGCCCCCTACCTAGGTCGTTGACGTTAAGCTTTGCCACGTCAAGACATGGGATGTCTTTGAGGATCTCTCTGTCCCTCTCAATGATGACAACGACGACGATGAGTTCCACGACCCGCACATCCATGGCGCGTGGCGGTGGAATTGTAACCGCGTTGGGTCCTGCCAACGTTATGCCACCTCCCTCATCGTCTGGTTTCTCCTTCAGGGCCAACGGTGTCAACGTGTTGCATCCGCTCGTGGGTGGGCCTCTGCTTCCTCGAGCTGCACCACTCATCGATGCTTTTGTCGACCCCGACATCGACCTCTCCCCTGTCAACGACGAGCAAGAGGGGGACCTGACCAACCTGGCAGACGAGCACTCCGCGATCTCGCCTGCTATCACCATCTCCAACTCCTTCTCCTCACTCGCAGTCAATGACGACGACATTGGGCTTCCTGTCTCGCCCGATAATGCTCAGTCTCCTAGCTCCTTGTTACTTGTTTCAGTTACTTCTGCCCTGCTAATTAACCTCTCTATCCCCTCCCCTCCCTTACCCACAGCCTCGCTCACCTGCCCTGGCCATGAGGCTAGCCTGTGGCGTGCTCATGTTGCTGAGAAGAGGGTTGTGGACGCGGAGAAGCTCCGCCATAGCCATCGGCTTGCTGACAAGACCTCCAAGGCGGGGGGCACCTTTGTCGACATGACCACCAAGGCCATGCGCGCCAAAGCTTGCTGCTTCAACCTTCAGTTGGCCTCGACGGACCTCACTCCGCCCTTGATGACTCTGGCCTCACCAGCGTGCCGGAGGAGTCGATGACTGGCGCTGGGGCCCTTGCTCGTGTCGCTGCTCTCTGTGGTGCTGATCCAGAGGAGACAACTGAGGTGTCATCTCCGGCATCATGATCTCTGCCTGCTCCCTGTGGACGTCGGCTCCTCGCTACAGCGGCTGCGTCCTTTTTTTCCTAGGCCATATCTGCCCTTATGGCAATGGTTTCATTATTGTTTTTAGCTTCTCTGTGCTTCCGAACGATGTCCCTCAGTTCGCTGGCCTCATCGATGTTTTGTAATCGTCTCGACCGGTTCTGGGTGCCCCTCCGTTTATTATGGGTATTGCCAAATTTAGCTTCTCTTGTTGGAATGTTCGCGGACTTGGGATACCACATAAATGCTCTGATGTTCTTTCCAAGCTCATCTCTTTTAACCCATATGTGTGCTTTCTTCAA